CATCAGCGACGAACGCAGCCTTCATACTCTGGTAACGATGGTGACCGCTTGCTTCTGCTTGTAGAAGGTCATTCCTGGGATACTTGAGCCCGATATAAAATGTGTATCAGACTTCCTGATAGCAGTCCCGAGTAAAGTGAAGCGCGTTATTGATCCGTATAGTTTGCTGGGTGCCCTTCCCCACTAGCGAATCTTTCGCGAAGCCAGTGCAAAGTCGTACACCTATGCTAACATTACTAATACACGCCATTGATAACGAAGCGACTTTTTGTCGTTCCCCTGTATAGACAAGATATAAATTTTGGATAGCGACCATTCCCAAATTTGCAAGTGATAAACAATGACAGCATACGTGAAAAAAACATGATACAACCATAGGGGACCTTCCCAATAACGATAATTGAGACTGATGTCTTATCAGTGCATGGACCAAATCATACATGACTCACACTTTCCTTATATCGGATAACGGATGATGAAGGATAATACAGTGGTCGAGTAAGCATATAGGCCGGTGTCAGACTTAGCGAATCCAGTGAATCGCGGGTACGAACAATGCCCCAGCGCCACATTCACTTTCCCACGCGCTCAAGTTCTAGCGAGCCCAAGAAAGTGGCGATAGTCGATGTCTAATAAAGAGGCCCTCGCTTTTCGTTTCCCACAATGTCTGTCGTTTGTGCATGTTTCAAACCGCTGGCGCATGGCTCTACCCTGCTGTTTGCTGGATTTGCAGTCTGACACCGGTTGTATACTTACCTGCGTGCGTCAAAACTGGTTGCACATGGATAAAAAGAACAACGAGGAAAACATACCATAACGAGACTAGGTGAGTAGATACTTCAATTGCGCGCTCATCAGGCGGTAATTTTCCAGTATCGTATAGTTTGAAGAGCCCTTGCCAAGCAATAGGCATTTTTCCATCAAGTTTAATAGCCTAAACTAAACAATTCCGAAATGGTATGAATAACAAATGAAATAGTTCCCACAACTACCTTTTCGTATAAGTTCTTTGCTTTGTTTTTATCATCCAGATTGGCATGCGCTAAAGCGGCAAAGCAAAACATCATGTAGTCTTCAACGCCATCATCAAGCAACTCCTGAATGTGGAATTCCAAGAAATTTGAGATCAACAAAAAAAACATGTGATTTCAAAACGGATACACATATTAAGCAGCACACACCTGTAGCACATTCAAAGCATCCTCACTGTGGTTCTCGCCCAGTAGCTTCTTCGCTTGTTTCAGAGCGGCTTTCAATTCCGCCATTCCAGAAAAACCTGCTTATCTCATAAACAATAGTGTAAAAGTTTAGACATATAATGCAAAAATATAAGTGACCTTACACTACTATCGCATAGGGAGACGTAGAACACTAGTTTTTATATTATCTCATACACTAAACTCTATACAACCTAAACAATCCACAAAAACCTGGTTCACTAAAATTGCAGAGACAAAAATATACCACAGAACAGCAGTGCAATCTAAAAATCAATTCCAAACATTGGCGCAAATTTTCCTGATCCTCCAGTAGTCAGAGTACGGCCCCGCTGACGATCCCACCACAACATTTCTCCATCCAAACAGGCTTCGTTCGATTTGTCCTAAGGAAATTTTATTAACGTTGAGGTCTAAGGTCACAACCAACGTAGAGAAGACCTCAGATATTGAAAGACAATTGCTATAAATGTTTTCAAGAAACCCAAAAAATTTTGAAGTTATAAATAAAGGAGTGGGGTATGAACAAATTGACAGAAACTCACAATTGGTACATAAACCAGTCGCGTGTAGAGATAGAAAATCAGAATAACGGATCCTACGTAAAGAAACACCGATCTGGGAGTGAAGCGGAAGAATTCGGCCTGTGTCATATCGGCCGAATACCATCGGAACATTGAAGGATCCATTACCACACCTTCCTGAAACTCCAAAAATAATTGTGCATCAAAATAAGGAAAAAGACCATGAGGATTAGTATCGATCGGGAAAAGCCAAAGATTCGAAGGATGGATGGGCCGCAATTTGGCTGCCTGAAGAGGCAAAGACATTTCGAACACATTTGTAAGCGCATAACAAACAACTGTTCCGTTCGAATGGCATTTCCTAGTCAATGAGGATCTTAAGAATGAGACTGCGAGTCTAAGTAATTGAATTGAAAGGAGAGGGAATAAATCATCTGTTTATGAAGAGGTTTAGGAAAATTGAATCGCGATGAGGAAGAAAGAGGAACGAACCCTCAGTGTATGACTCTTTTAATATAATTCTGGTGAAGTCACAATTGAAAGTATGTGATTTCAACAATTAATTATAAGTAATGATCAGGTAAGATGCGTTTGAGACAGAAAGAAGAACAAAAAAAGAAGGAAATGTGGCATCTAATAAGACTCATATTCCTAGCTAAAACGTTTACTACCTAAAACGTGGCGGAAACGTTACAAAAAGTAGTCATAAAGTTAGTGCTCAAACCTTATATTTAAAGTTGTGAGGATCGTATTCACGACGCAGGTACTCCTTTCTTAAGAATCTCCTTCACACGATACCTCCAAAGTACGGCCTTCTTCTCATCATCTGTCAAATTGTACTCCTGTCCAGGAAGGAATTCCGTTTTACCTAAGAGATCAACTTTCTTATCTATCTGTTTATTGACGTCGTTTTCGACGTATTCTGTACTTCAAGTTTTGATATACAAGTATATAGTTAAATTTCCATACAAAGTTTCAAACTAACCGTGGGTTCAAAGTAACCAAGAACAGGATCCTGCCAAAGTTTGGGATTCTTCACATTCTGATTGGCTGCTGGACGCAGCAAGCGTACAGCAAGACGCATTTTCCTGGAAGAAGCTAACTTCCCGGCACGGTTAACTCTGCATAAAAAATAGTGCCTTATTTACGAAGTGCACGGTATTGAGAAAAAAAAACAGAAATTAGACATATGCAATGTGACGAAAGATATCCCCATGACACTACACATGAAACTATTGGATCAGAATCGTATTTGCGAGCGAAAATTCCCGAAACGGCAAAGAGAACGAGTTCTTAGCTTTGAATGACAGGCGGAAGATGATTTCAGCGAAAGAGGAAAGTAGCGAAATTGCGGACGGTTGGA